CCAAGGGTAGCTGTCAAGGCTATCTTGTTTCTATGGTATCCGACGTCGTTGATGAGTGGGTGCCCGAGCGAGTATCTATTGTTTGCGAGTATCTAGACGTCTTTCCTGATGACTTGCCCGGAGGACCGCCAGACCGCTAGGTGGAGTTCACTATTGACCTCATTCTAGGAGCCGGCCCCGTTTCTAAGGCCCCTTATCGTATGGCGCCGAAGGAGCTTCAAGAGCTCAAGGCCCAGATTCAGGAGTTGCTCAAGCTCGGTTTCATTCGTCTGAGTGTTTCACCGTGGGGTGCGCCCGTCCTATTCGTGAAGAAGAAAGACGGATCTATGCGCATGTGCATTGACTATCGGGAGTTGAATGCCCTTACAGTCAAGAACAAGTACCCCCTTCCCCGTATCGAGGATCTTTTCGACCAGCTGAGAGGAGCCGGCGTTTTCTCGAAGATTGACTTGCGTTCTGGCTATCATCAGCTGAAGATCCGGGAGTCAGATATTTCCAAGACTGCCTTCCGTACTCGCTATGGCCACTATGAGTTCGTAGTCATGCCTTTCGGACTCAGCAATGCCCCGGCCGTCTTCATGGACCTTATGAATAGGGTCTTTCATCCTTTCCTAGACCAGTTCGTCATTGTGTTCATCGGCGACATTTTGGTCTATTCCCGTGATATCGATCAGCACAAGGAGCATTTGAGGATTGTGCTGGAGACACTTCGCCGCGAGAAGTTGTATGCTAAGTTCTCGAAGTGCGAATTCTGGCTGCAGCGTGTGGCATTCCTTGGCCACATTGTGACAGCTCGAGGCATTGAGGTGGATCCCAGCAAGATCGAGGTGGTGAGCAAGTGGGATACGCCAAGAAGTTCCGCGGATGTTCGTAGTTTCCTGGGGTTAGCAGGATACTACAGGAGGTTTATCGAGGGCTTCTCGAAGATAGCCCAGCCACTGACCAACCTTACGAAGAAGGCTGTAAGGTTTGATTGGAATGCTCAGTGCGAGGAGAGTTTTTAGGAGTTGAAGAGGAGACTCACCACCGCGCCTGTCCTATTCATACCCGACCCTACTTTGGAGTTCACCATCTATAGTGATGCTTCGAAGATGGGCCTGGGTTGTGTTCTCATGCAGCAGGGGAAAGTCGTAGCCTATGCTTCGAGGCAGCTGAAGCCTCACGAGCAGAACTACCATACTCATGATCTCGAGTTAGCTGCTGTTGTCCATGCCTTGAAGATTTGGCGGCACTACCTCTATGGAGGCAAGTGTGAGATCTTTACCGACCACAAGAGCCTAAAGTACATCTTCACTCAGAAGGAGCTGAACATGAGGCAGCGTAGGTGGTTGGAGCTGGTCAAGGACTATGACTGCACCATTAGCTACCACCCTGGGAAAGCTAATGTGGTAGCCGATGCCCTTAGTCGGAGGAGTTATGGCCAGCTATCTTGCTTGTTTACCAGGCAGGATGTCCTTCTTCGGGAGTTCAAGCGATTGCAGTTGGAGGCAGTAGAGTCAACTTCGCCAGCCGGGGGCATGTTGGCCTCTTTGATGGTGGGACCGACTCTTCGGGAGAGGATAGTCGCCGAGCAACCGAATGACCGTTTCTTATGCCGAATGAGGGAGTTGTCAGCAGCTCGTAGAATTGGTGGTTTCGCAGTCGCATCTGATGGAGCCTTGGTCTTCGAGGGTAGACTTTGTGTTCCGAGGGTGTGGGAGCTGCGGAAAGAGAATTTGAGGGAGGCCCATAGTGCCCCGTACACCATCCATCCTGGTAGCACGAAGATGTATCAGGACCTGAGGAAATCCTTCTGGTGGCGAGACATGAAGAGGCAGGTAGCGAAGTTCGTGGATGGGTGTCTGGTGTGTCAGCAAGTGAAGGCTGAGCGCCAGAAACCAAGAGGGTTGTTACAACCCCTGGAGGTTCCCCAGTGGAAGTGGGATTGCATCACCATGGACTTCTTGGTTGGA